AAAATTCCTGACACCACCTCTGCTATCCGTTAGATCAGATCTCATTCTGTCCACCCTAGAGCTTCCATAGAAAGAGCCACGGAGCCCTGGGTAAAAAAGCTTGTGTAGACGTACCTTGATGAACCACGATAAAAAGGAGCTCATCATGGACGGTTGCATCACCAAATTTAGTGCTTGCTGGCTTCTGGCATTCAAGGAGAGTGTTGAGCTAAAAAACAAAATAATGCACAGAGAGGAAACTTTTAAAACAACGGTACCATTCGCCGCCGTACTTTACTGAAAAATAGCATCCGAAATATAACGTTAGCAATATTCAACATGCAAATGAACAACAGCTTACACGTGCTAATAAATTTCGATTAAGCGCGTTTGGGAAATTTACAAGAAAGTGCGCGCTTTAATTCTGACGCGTTTTCTGCACGTTTATTTGAATGCTTGTCTCTGAGCGATACAGCGTGACGATCTTGCTTGCCACGGAAAGAAACCTCTCACTTTACAAATCAAGTTTCTCCTGATAGTTTCATAAGTGTGAAAAATACCATCTGTTCTATTATTGGATTTCCTATTAATTTTTGTTCTCCACTCCAAAGGAAAATTTCATTTCCTGTGATGAAACAATAGCTTGCAAATTTGCACTGATGCAGAACTTTTAAAGTCAAAGAGTTGATTTAGCTAAATGCACTGAAATTCAAAGAGAGATTTCATGATCACGGATTCATATCTGATTCATAACTTCGATATCCATCCAAGAATATAATGAAAATAAAAATAAAATGCTACAGATTTGGCCTCCATATGCCTAATGAGGAACCGTGAGAGGAAGATAATAAACAAAAGTCTTAATCCCTTTATTGAAGAACTGTGCAATAGTCATTAGCTCGCCTATTCCCCTGAGAATATTGCTATGTCAACAAATTAAGGATCGAAAGTTGATAATTTATTCATAACGTTTCTAAGGCTGTCGGATTTGTTGACTAGTGCATTATTAAGAGTCAATTACTTTGTGTGTTTAAGAAGCCTGCTGACAGCAACACTGAAGTCATCAATATCTAAACGAAAGCAAGCTACCAAGATTCCCTTAAAAGTTGAAACCTTAGCAAGAGACAGATCTGCCCAAGCTGGTCTTAATAAAGGATATTTAGGAATGAACAATTGAAAGTTCAGTGACAGAGTGAAGATAATGGACCTACATGTATGGTTGTTGTATTGAGTGTTCCAGACAAAAGAAGCAAACAGAAAACCTACCCACTGCCAGGTTCAAGTTTCCTTTACCAAAATTCTCAAGACAAATTCCACAGAGCTCAGTCAGGAAATAATCCCTATCTAGTGCTAATGCCACATATGTAATTATACAGAAAATGAAGAATCAAACTTTGATACTTGTCAAAGAGCTTAAGAAAAAACCATGAGGAACAGTTTACCAAGATCTGAACTTGACAAATATACAACTGGTGGTAAAGATCCAAACTATATAGTAAGATCATGGGCATCCAAACTTGGTACAGTCACACAGGGGCACAAGCTCCCCAAATACACCTATCGCAGCAAATGGCTTCAGACACTCAATCAGGTGGAACTCATGCAAAATGTTGAAGTGCAACAGACACTTAGAAATGTGATGAGCATACTGAAAGCTGGGGATGAAAGCATGCAAGATTCTGATAGTGCTTATGAATTTGCAGAAAAGAGGAGGATTGAGAAATGCCATGAGACTGTATGCAAGATTAGAAGTTACAGTAAAAGGAGTGAAAAATTGTCAATGCCAGAAGTTGAGGGTATAAACAAAAACGGCCCTCAATCTAAAACTCTATCAGAAAACAGAGCCAAAACAAGAAAGAGTCAGAGGTTAAAAGTGCATCCCTCTCCAGACAAAGAATTGGATGTTGCCAAGGTCAACAGAAAGTTTGCAAAAATTGCAAAAATTGAAAAAGGTTATGAGAGCTTCCCAAGAGAAAGCACACTGACGAGTGAGAAACTTTTCATAGATCAAGAAAAAAGCCCAGATGATAAAAAAGTACTGTTACCTCCAATTCCTGAAGTAAGTCCAGAAAATTCACTTCAAAAAAAGGGGAAGGATTCTTGCCATTACTCACTACCAACACTTGATACTGAAAGTAAATTTTGTATTATAAAACGTGCCAAAGAACTCCGCAATGAGCGTGATTTGAAAATAAGAAACCAAAGCCTCACAACAATGTCATCAGAGATACATAGAAAATACTCAAAAGCAAGAAAAATATCTCTAAAGAACTATCGAGATCAGAAGATAGAAATTTTTGGTGATAACAGGAAACTTCTCAATGTAGAATCCAAAGTTGATGTGGAAGACAAACTGACTACACTGCCTTTGTTAGACAGTAAGTCTTTCAGTGAAATTGACTGTAATGATTATCTGGATCTAACCAATCGCATAGATAGTCTCTCGCCCACACCAGCTGTTCTAGATCATAAATTGTACTGGTCTTTAGCTACCAAACCTCGAGCTCGAGATAAGTAATGTAAACAAAATTTGGTGTTTAAACAGTTGTTGTGCAAAATTAAGTTACAGAATGTACATGTCATCACAGGTCATTGTAACAAATTTTAAATGACATCTAAATCTTGCATCTGATTTGTATAAAAATGTATAGAAGCAGGAAGGGAAAATTTTGAATAAAGAACAGCTATGATTGGAGCCAGCAGAAAATAATCTCATTCTCTATCAAAATATCATGTACCAAGACAGAATTCCTGTATTTGTATTTGATGAGACCAAACATCTGCTGTGAAGGAGACTAGGATTCAAATGCATTTAAAAGTCTGAACTCATGTTGTAAAATTTTGCTATAAACTCTCAAATACTCTGACTCAACCCTTCAACTCCCAGATCATATTTGTAGTTCTCCTTACTATCAATTGTACAATTCTTATAACATTAGTTTGGAGAATTTAGTATTGGATCAACTAATTACACCCAAATTGATATTATTCTTTATTCTCATCACTTGCCTGGTTGATATTGTATTGATATTGTAAGGAGAAATTCTGTCTTGGTCACTCATGGGAGTTAGAGGGTTAACTTCCTAATTGTACCAAATTAAATATTCAACATACACATGGAAATTAACTAACATAAAATAAGATTTTGCTACATCAGCCTCCATGAAATAATTTCACAAATGAAATCAGAATTATACAGATATCATAAATTTCAGTAGCATTAAACTTCCCTTGTGTGTGTCATAGATCACAACAAGATATCATTTTATGACCTACTTGAACAAAATTACACCAGAAATATCATAAGTTGCAAGAAAATTAATTCAGTGAACCCTGCATATCTGAGAATGCATGAAGAGGAAAAGCTTTTTTAAAGCTAATCTAATATTTGCGCAGTAATGATCATATTCTTTCTCTACTCTTGTTCATGACTGTCATCACATAAACATCATGTATCATTTTACTACATGCATAAAATCTATTTATGTTATACATATGCACACAACTTGTGATATCTGAACAGGAATTAGGTGATTGTTTCATAAACTCATTCAAAATTAATAGCCATAAACAGGAACACTCTTCAGAGACATAATTTAACGACGTTTCATTCCAAATTACACAAAAAGCAATTTCCATGCACGAAATATCACCATATATATAATATTGAACAGGCAAAACTAGGTTATTGAACATCGTTTTAAGTTTTAGCGAATTTTCTTTACTTATTGTACATGTACAACTCTTTATACTGTCGGAATTTTACTCCTTTCTAAAGACACTTTTAATACTCAAAATGAGCTCATTCGAAATATTTAAATCTCCTTTACTCTTCAGAAACTTCAGATGCGAAAAATCTCCTTCCAGATGAGAGCCACAGCGTGGATATTAAAGAGAATCGCAACATCTTATCAGTGTTTTATTCGACAATCCTTGTCATAGCCTCCAGTTATAAATAATTCACATAAAGGAACGGTACCATGAGAAATACTGATTGCACTTCCCAAATGTGCTCCGCTATTTTATAACAAGAAATAAATAACAATCAGGCGCGAGAAATTTGATACAAACACAGTTATGTTTGTATGATGTAACCATCGCTTTGTTAAGACTTAACTCGTACAATAAACTCCTAAAAGTTAGGAGTTTCCAAATGGCATTTACATACGAAAAGTTTGATCACCAAGGGCTAATAAGGTATTCCCGCAAGGGACGCATGCGATTTACATAACGGGAGTTCACAGAAGCGTAAAACTCAGACATATGCTCACTTCGAGAATCATGGCGATAACAAACAATCGACTGTTTGATAAATGTGCCTACCGAAAGATGTACAAGGCAAGGTTACCGTTTTAACCAAAAATTCTACGTAAAAACGAACCAAAAACGATCTCAAACCTGTAGATAATCTCCATAAGACATCCGTTTGTCGTCGCCATTCTTGCGGACTGGTATATTCTCCCTGCTGAATCAAAACCATACAAAATCAAAATACTTCAACAGCGGAATCGACTCGTAAAACTCCGAACACATTAAGATATCGATCGAACTTTCTTACCCGTCGTGAGCGTAGGGGCAACTCATAGTGAAAGATTAATTTTCTGAAAACTCTGACCAACAATCTGCTACTCGCGCGAAAAGCGATCGTGACCGGCTCACGAACGAAATGACTGGAACCGTTTATTCTAAAGGGGCGTGATTGGAGGCGTAACACTGGCTCTTAATTGACACCCTACAACGGAACCCCTTGGGCCCATTTCGTACATCATCATAGTGTTCCTCAAAGAGACGATTTCAGAATCTTTTTTAAAAGAAATACGAAATACTACACAAAAATATATTTTATTTCATTAGGTGGTTATGATTTAGTGATTAGTGTACAGATCTAGATTTAAAGTCCGAATTTATTTGGGACTTAGCTGTCACAATGAGTTTCCTCTTTGAGGCTATTTTGTTTTGCTTCCATTGGCCTTGGACCCACACTCAAGTTCCAATTTTCGCTTTCTTAATCAAGGATTAATTTTTAGATCGGAGGAATTAAGTACTTTGTTACTCATTCGTGAAGTCCTCGTAAAAAGTGTTTTGTTAATGTTCTGATAAGCATACACGGGTCCTAGATGCCTTCTGCTAAGAAAATAGTACCAGCTCCGCAGTTAGTTTCTCCCTATCCCCATCGAAGCGTTCGTTTAGACCGTATCACAGAAAAATTGTGGTAATTTTAAAAAGCAGTTTCCTCGTCACTCGATCCTCAAGTCCAATTTTGAAGTTGTCTGCAACCGTGGCAGGTGCCTAGATAGCAAGGGTGGCAAGAGGAAAGCGGAGTGTATGAAGAAATATCGTGCAGCTTGCTTCTAAGGCGAATGCGTCAACAATTCGTGCAAGGCCAACATCAGTATAAAACCCCTTTGATTGTGTGTTATTGATGTCGTTGACCAATTGTAAGCAAATGGCACTGCAATGAAAGTGAGTTGAGGTCAAACAATTCGGATTAAAATGCGACAGCTCCAGATATGTAGCCATCTCAGTGAGTTCTTTGAATCGCGAAAAGGCGCTCGGTGCCCATTTGAACAAATATGATAGATTCTTTTTTAATTGTTTCATTTGGGCAGAGACGTGTGGAACACGTACGCTTTCAAATCGTGTTAAACGTCCTACAGAAGACAACTAGGTCATGTCTGTTGACTTCGGACCATTTTCCTTTCTATTGCTTAAAGAGTGACGGTTCGTGGCTTCTCCCGTTTTTTCAGCTTTCGTAGAAATAGAATCTGCCAGTCGATTGGTTCCCACTTAATTCGTTCTGCATCATCAAATCAGATAAGAACGATAGTTGGCAAAATGTGGGAAAAGCAAACATCAGTCTGAATAAAGAACAGGTATCCAGATGAACCAAAAATAATAGGTTTTTCGCGATTCTATTTGACCTATTGCGTAAAGTTACAAGTTATATCACACAGGTATCAACTTGGTTAATTTTCCGAGTACACTACTGTCCTCTTAGTGATATCATAACCACTGCCTTTTACAAACAGTGAGTCAAATCAAATATTCAAACCACAATCATTCAAACATAAACGCAGAAAAGAAATTGGATAATGTCTGCGGTTCGTGTGTCGATGGAAAAACAAAATTCACCCAGAGTGAAAGTAAAATTATAGCGCAGAACATAAGACCTAACTTCCCTGCCTCAATCAAATGGCGTCCTATTTCAATGAAAAAAATGGAACAAAACGAAGATTCAAGAAGCTTACCTGAGGTAGTCATTTACACTGTTTTAATCAGTCAAGCACTGATTCTGTCTCTATTGGGAAATTCACTTTTCTGCCTAGCCCTTTATCGAAACATAAGACAGCGAACCATCACCAATATGTACCTGCTGTCTCTTGCAATGGCTGATCTTATGATGGCCATATTTGTGTTTCCGTCTCTTCTAGTCGCTTCTGGTTTAAGCAGATGGTCCTTCAGTCAGAGCTTCTGTCAATTTACGGGTTTACTCACTACTTTTTGGGCTGAGTTTTCGCTTTGCATTCTCGCAATAACGGCGATTAATCGTTATTTCTGCGTTATGAAGCCACAACGATATGCCTCCCTTTTCACTAAAAAAATCCATCTTACTGATATTTTCGGTTTGGACTTTCCTATGTGTTTTTTAACGTTATATTACATGTCGTCGTTCACATCATCTACAAGTGGCGACCAGAAGACTTGCACTGTAGAATAAATTTTGGTGATGAGAGATTTCAGAAAATAATGCACATAGGTTTTTCATGTCTTAATTTCCTATCGATGTTCATGTTGTTTTTTGCTTATGGCAAGATCTATCGTTTTATCGGAAGACACAATAACGCTGTCCACCCTTCACTTCAAGCGTCACGAAACAGCCAAAGAACGTTGGGTATTCATGAGATGAAAGCATCCCGAGTTTTATTTGCGACAGTATTCAGCTTCTGCGTTTCTTGGATTCCTGCAGGCGTTCTGACCATTTTAGAGTTTGGCTTTGATATGTCTATTCCTTCCACTGCACGGTCATTACCTTTATTGTTCGCTTCTATTTCGGCGTGGCTTAATCCAGTTATTCATGGCGTCATGAACAGGGCCATGCGAAAGGAATATAGAAATACTTTATTCTGTCGGAAAAAAAACTAACTCTTCAAATAAGATTAGGAGTCAGTATTGATCACATCACCCTTCTCCCTAAGTTTTCCGTTAACTTTCTAAGAAAGAGAGCGGCTGACTGCAAAGGAGAAGACCTTATCTTTTTCAGATGAAAGAAGTGACAGCATCAGATGGCCATCTCAACTTCTTTTAACCACGATCTAAAAGGAACTCTACGCGAATACACACCCTTTCCATAAGCAAGAAAAATGTAAATAAGCGCTGGGTGCCTATTTGTGGAGATGTGATAGACTATTCTTTAGTATAATTTTTTCATTTCGGCAGAGACGACTAGGCCATCTATACGCTTTAAAATTGTAGATATCGCTTTACAAAAAGCATCTGAATCATTCTTGTTTGTTTCGAACTATTTTCCTTTTTTTAGTTTAAATAGTGACAATTTATAGCTTCTGTAAAAACTGCAACCTGCCCGTTGATTGGCTCCCTCTTGATTCATTCGGTACATAACCTTCACTTAAAACTCAATATTTCTATTGTTGACAGTGGGGTAACTTAGCTGCACGTTATATTGGAAAAAAGATGGCAAAACGAGAAAAATGCAAACATCAATCTGCAGAACACTTACAGATCAACTGATAAAACAAAAAATATTGGATTTCGAGTCTCCATTCTGATCATACACATGACGAGCTGTCAAAGGTATCGGTGTTCCGCATTGATTGCAATCAAAGTTCTACCTATAGTGTAAATTTGCAAGCTATATTGATTAATTTTGGGCTGGATCACAATTGACGGCAAAGGTAAAATCTTAACCTCCGTGCTTTGTAAAAAAAGAGTCCAATCGCCTCAAATTGTACCGTGAATTATTCTGACACGAGTACAGAAACGTAATTACAGAGAAGAGAAGGATTGAGAAATGCCACGAGGCTTCGTGAAAGAAAAGAAGAAAAAGTGAAATAAGTAACTGAGACACTATCAAAGCTAGAGTTTGAGGGTATACACAAATACGATCCACAACTGGCTAACACTCTATCAGAAAACAGAACCAAAACAATAGGAGTGATAGCTCCGGATACGTGGCCACCTCATTTCTTTTTTTTCCTTTCTTTTACAAGCGCTGGGTGCCCATTTGAAGAAATATGATAGACTTTTCTTCTGTAATCGTTTCGATTTGGCAGAGACGCATAGACCATCTGCGCTTTCAAATCGTGTATAACTCTCTACAAACGCAACTGGTTTGCTTTTCAAACTTGAGGTTGTTTATAATCTCAGTTACAGACTACATCAAGATTGTGGCCGATTTCTACCGCAGTCTTTTAAGTGCTAATTTATCTGTGAATATAAAAATATCGGCGAGAGAAGAAGGAATTTCGTCCCTATCATGTCGTCTGCGGCACATACTGGGCAGCCCAGTTTTGAATTCTTGTTTACCTATTTCAAACCACGTGACCAAATAGCTAAAAGGGTCAATTAAGTCTTATGGATGAAGTCTCTAGCCAAGTGTAAAGATACAATGGCCACGGTTGTAGGTGGTTTTGTGTTTGTCGGAAATCAACCATGTATGAAATGGGTCAGTCGGTATCCACACCCCTCCCCAATAAAAAAATGAACTGAGTCAATCAGTATCCACACCCCAACAAAAAATTATGTTTCTGTACTCCTCTTGACCCCGCCTTCTGCTCTCTGCTTGCCTAACGGCATTAAGAACTTGTGGTTGAGTTACAAAGCAGTTTATTCTTTTCTATGAACGAAGTATCTAAAACAGCGTCACATTAAAATTATTGTGTTAACCTCAGTTAAAAAGTATCCTAAAATCTATATTTCAAAATCGAACAAAGGTTCGCACCAAGTTTGGCTCAGAATAACAAGTAAACGAAATGTTGATACAAAGTTATCCGAAAACGCTTTAAAAAAAGCTTGAACAATGAATATCGTTAACTGAACTGAAAAAATTTTCGTCAATCATCGTTCGTAAAATATAAATGGTACAAGACGTCACACAAACAGTCTTCATGCAGAATATATACGTAAAAAAGTGAAAACCACGTAAAGAAATGCCTAACCCTGACTTCGATTCATTTGCTACTGTTATGAGCTAAAGAGTTCAACAGCTGTATGTGTTACTTGAACTAAACACTGACACTAAAACACTAACGTCTTTTTATATCGCTTATCACACAAAAATCCAGTAAACCGCCCTAAGCCTTTCCATCGTCAGCGTTGACTTGCGGGTGCTTGGCTTGCAGATCCTGCATTTTCTTGTTTCCTCGGCCGTATTTTTTGCGGTACAATATGACTGCAACAAGGAGGACGAGCAAGAACCCAACTATGGCGCTGCCGACAGCAGAAATCAGCAAAATGCTTCTTGTTTCCTTAGGTCGAACAGTCTCTGAGATAGTTCCTGCTTCCTCTTTGCTCACATCACCACCCATGTTGGGAAACACCACGTCAACAATGTATACGTACTTCTTATTCACGTGTTCTCGGACGAACTCCGCCATCACCTTTTCAAACTGCTGGCATTTTCCATCTCGTGCACAGCTCAGGAGCTCCAA